GTCGCCGCTGCATCGCCGATGCGTCGTCGATGGATCGCCAATGCATCGACGATGCGGCGCGATCCTCCGACCCCATCGACTCGGACCCCATGTTGCAGGCCTCTACAAACGCATCCCTGTGCACTGCCCCCTGATGCCCCTCGACATCGGTCCCCCAGGCGGCGGATGTGCACAAGCCCTGACCTCGCACACCGGCTGCTCTCGCCTTGGAGGCCCCGGCGGGGCTCCCCGATGGGGTCGGAGGAATGGGGGGGGGCGGTACCAAATCAAGTCTGCTGCGCGGGTTCATTCACGCCCCTCACGGGGTCCATCTGGTGCAGTTTTTCACCCCGGATCCCTTTCCCGTACAGTCGGACCGAGGTATCAGATCGAGGTCGGCTGGGGCAGGATACCCCAGTGTTCTTCGTGCTTGCCGCACGTTCTCGTGCATCCTGGGGAGGGGTACCCTCGAAGGTTCCTCAGTGTGGCTGGCAGAGGGTCTCATGAAACGGCATGCACATATGATTTTGGCCGCTCCGCGCTGATTTCTTGGATCTGCGCTGGGGCCCCTTGGCGGCGCCCAGCGCCCTCTCTGGCGCGCTCCGCGCGCCAGGGAGGGTGCCCAGCGCAGATCCAGGACGTCCGCGCGGCGCGCCAACAGTTTTTATGCTCATGACGATTTTTTCTTCTTGTGAGGATGTTATGCTCATGACGATTTTCTCTTCTGCTGGGGAGGCTCTCCTGCCCCAGGTCCGACCGCAGGCGCAGCCGCGCGCCCGTGATCGTCAGCCACGGCGCGGCCCGCCCGCGCTCCGAGCGCCCTGTGCGCCCGCCCTCGCCGCGGGCCGCGGAGGCCTCCTCGGCCCGCCAGGGGGGCTCAGCCTACTAAGGGGGCCAGGGAGTGACGTGCACGCCAGGCCGTGTTTTTTTGTGTGATCTTGGGTCCCAATCCGCTCCGAGCGCCTTCCGATTTCAGTGATGGGGTGCTTTCGCCCGTTCCGTCCTCTTCGGGGGGCGGGCGGAAGCCCCATCTGTTTCTAACGCCTTCCTGCTTCGTGTTTGTACCCGCCTCTTCCGACCGACGTGTAAGCTTAGTTTCTTGCATTTTTTTGTTCGGGGCAACATAATCTTGGGACAAGTTGATGATTATTTTTGACTATTTTGGAGTCCGTTTTGAGTATTTTTAAGCGTTCGCCCCAAATCCGCCTGTAGGGGGACATGCCCGACCTAAGCATAACACACAACTTTTCGGAGCTCCGCGCGGATTGCCTTGGCTGGTGCGGGACCCCCCTCGGCGCCTGGAGGGCGCCAGGCCAGGGGGGCCCCGCGCCGATCCAAGCACGTTGCGCGGAGTTCCGGGACGTTGTGCCAACGCCGCTCGGCGGCGAGCGATGGGGGGGAAGGGAGAATCAAGGGAGGAACAAATCCGCCCGGACCCGACCATCGGCGTTTGCCAAGCGGCCCTGGGCGTTTTTCTAGACAGCCCTGCCCCGTTCGATTCCTGCTCTGGGCGCGTCTGTGAAACGACTTGGCGTGTCGGGGTGGATCTTTTGCCCTCCGAAGAAGTCTGCGCGGAGCTCCGCTCGCCGCCGAGGTGCATCCTCACCCCTGTGATTGGCACCGCCTGCTCTCGATGCCGATCTCGAGGACCGCCTCGGTCTCTTGAGGGCGCAGCACCGAGGCTGTCGTCGCGTTCGGCCTCGTCAGCCTGAGGGGCCTGGATCGTCTCACCTCCCCCCGGGCTCGCCGCCGAAATACATCCTCACCCCTGATTGGCACCACCTGCTCTCGATGCCGATCTCGAGGACCGCCTCGGTCTCTGAGGGCGCAGCACCGAGGCTGTCGTCGCGTTCGGTCTCGTCAGCCTTAGGGGCCCTGATCGTGTCACTTCCCCCCGGGCTCGCCGCCGAAATACATCCTCACCCCTGATTGGCACCACCTGCTCTCGATGCCGATCTTGAGGACCGCCTCGGTCTCTGAGGGCGCCGCACCGAGGCTGTCGTCGCGTTCGGTCTCGTCAGCCTGAGGGGCCTGGATCGTCTCACCTCCACCCGGGCTCGCCGCCGAAATACATCCTCACCCCTGATTGGCACCACCTGCTCTCGATGCCGATCTTGAGGACCGCCTCGGTCTCTGAGGGCGCCGCACCGAGGCTGTCGTCGCGTTCGGTCTCGTCAGCCTGAGGGGCCTGGATCGTCTCACCTCCACCCGGGCTCGCCGCCGAAATACATCCTCACCCCTGATTGGCACCACCTGCTCTCGATGCCGATCTTGAGGACCGCCTCGGTCTCTGAGGGCGCAGCACCGAGGCTGTCGTCGCGTTCGGTCTCGTCAGCCTTAGGGGCCCTGATCGTGTCACTTCCCCCCGGGCTCGCCGCCGAGCCGTGTCTTGTTTCTCGGGTGCCCCCTCCCTTCCGTCCACCCCGACCCGAGCCCTCTCGCGGTGGCCGCCATGGGCCTCCCCTCGCTGGCGGCCCCGCTCCTGGCGGCCCTGGCGGCGGGGGCGAGCGGCCTGGAGACCGCCCGCGCCCGAGCCGGCCCCGGGTCCGTCTCCGATCCCGCGCCGGGGCGACGTCGACCGCGACGACCAGGACGACGACGACGACAACGACGATCGCGACGACAACGACGACCACGACGACGACGATCACGAAGACCACGACGACCACATCAACCACCACGACGACGACTACGGCGACCACTACGACCACGACGACCACGACGACGACGAAGACGTTGACGACGATGACGACTACGATGACGACTACGACGACCACGACCATGACGACCACGACGACCACGACGACCACGACGACCACGACGATCACGAAGACGACGACCACGACGACGAAGGCGACGACGACGACCACGACGACCGCGACGACGACCACGACGACGACGACCACGACGACCGCGACGACGACCACGACGACCACGACGACGACGACCACGACGATGACGGCCACGACGACGACCACGACGACCACGAAAACAACGACCACGAGCACAACGACAATGACGACTACGACGACGACGTTGACCGTCACGACGACCACGACATTGACGACGTCGACGACCACGACGACGACGACCACGACGGCGACGACGTCGACCACGACGACCACGACGGCAACGAAGACGACGACGACGACCACGACGACCACGACGACGACCACGACGACCTTGACGACCGCAGCGACCACGATGACAACGTCCACGACGACGACGACCACGACGACGACGACGACCACGATGACCCCGACGACCACGACGACCACGACGACCACGACGACCACGAAGTCGACGACCACGCCGACGACGACGAACACGACGACGACGACGACCACGACCACGACCACTACGACGACGACGCCGACGACGACGACCACGAAGACGATGACCACACCACGACGATGACGAACACGACGACCACGACATCCACGACGATGACGACCACGCCGACCACGGCGAGGACGACTACGACATCCACGACGACCACGACGACTGTGACGACCACGACGATGACGGCCACGACGACGACCACGACGACGAAGACGACCACGACGACCACGACGATCACGACGACCACGACGACCACGACGACCACCACGACCACGACCACGACGACCACGACGACCTCTACGACCACGACGACGACGACCACGACGACGGCGACGGTCACGACGACTGACACGACGACCACGACGACGAAGACGATGACTATGATGACGACAACCACGACGACAACGAAGACGACGTTGACCACGACGACGATAACAACGACGACCACCGCGACGACGACCACGACGACGACGACCACGACGACCGCGACGACGACGACCACGGCGACGACGACGACCACGACGACCACGACGACCACGAAATCGACACCGACGACAACGACGACCACGACGAGGACGACGACGGCGACGACCACGACGACCACGACGACCACCACGACGACGACGACCACGACGACCACAACGACGCCCATGACGCACGCGACGACAACGACGACCACGACGACGACGACCACGACGACCGCGACGACGACGACCACGGCGACGACGACGACCACGGCGACCACGACGACGACGACAACGACGACGACGTTGACCGCGACGACCACAGTGACTACGACGACCACGGCGACTACGACGACCACGATGGCGACCGCCACGACGACCATGACGACTACGACGACGATGACGGCGACGACGACCACGACGACCGTATCGACCACGACGACGACTATATTGTACAGCGACCAGTGCGACGACGATAATCGCGACGGCCTGGACGAACACGACGGCCACGTCGACGACGACGACCATGACGACCACGACGATCACGACGACCACGACGTCAACGACGACGGCAACGACGGCCACAAAGACGGCGACGACGACCACGACGACCACGACGACCACAACGACGACGCCGACGACCATGACGACGAAGACGACCACGACCATGACGACGGGACGACCACGACGACCACGACGATCACGACCACGACCACGACGATGCCCTCGACCACGACGACCACCACGACGGCGACTACCACGACGACCATGACGCATATGACGACGTTGACGACGACCACGCGACACCGACAACGACGACTACGTCGGCGACGACCACCACGACGACGAACACGACGATCACGCGACCACGACGACGACAACGACGGCGACCATGACGACCACAATCATGCCGACGACCACGACGACCGCATCGACCACGACGCGACCACGACGACAACGACGACGACGACCATGACGGCGACCACGGCGACCACGTCGACTACGACGACGCTGGCGGCCATTCCGACGAAGACGGCCACGGTGACGACGACGACGACGACAGCGACGATGACGAAGACGACGCCGACGACCACGAAGACGATGACGACCACGACGACGACGACGACCACGACGACCACGACGACGACGACGACGACCACGGCGACCGCGACAGCGACGACGACGACCACGAATACGACCACGACCACGTCGACCACGAAGACCACGACGAGCAAGACGACGACGACCACCGGTCAGGTCATTTGCAGGCCCTGGCCTCTCGGCCTCCGCCAGACCTCTGTGTTTCTCCCCCCCTGCGGGCCCTGTTCCTCAACGGGGCTCTTGGGAGGAGTCTGTGGGTTTGGCGGATGATGCGTACCAAGCCAACGCGCGCACGCGTGTGCGCGGACCAGGAGCGGCTCGGCACGCCTCGCCGCTTTGTTAAAAAGCTGCGCTCCTCCTCATCCCCCCCTCCTGCTGCTGCCGCCTCCCCCCTCCTCCTCCTCCTCTTCTTCCTCCTCCTCTCTCGTTAAGTGCACGCGTGCCTCACTCAACAAGCCGTTCTGACAGAGGCTGGGAAGTTTCTCGCGCCCGGCCACCATGCCTGGGCTGATGCTGTTCAGCTTGACCTTTGCTCGTTCTGGGGGTCACCATTCCTGCGGAATGGGGGGCCAAGAGGCCTCACGCGCATTGAAATAATATCCTGGAGTCCAACGCGAGCCTCAGGTCCATCTCGTGGCTCACGAGTCAGCTTCTTCGTGCTTCCAGCTGCTATCTGGGCAAAGTTGGCGTGCTCGAAGACGGTTGCCAAGGTTCGGCGACGCTGGCGCAACCACTTGTGTCTGCCGCAGTGGACGACAACTTGGAGTGGGCCTCGCTTTTCGCGCTGCCGCAAGCTTAGGTAGACAATGCTTGTGTTCGGTGTTGGATGCGGAGTTCGATCATAATTTTGATCGACTGATCTTGGAGGCCTCAGAGGCTAGCTCATCTGCTAAGGCCACCGCTGCGTCGACTTGGCGGCGAGAATGGCGCGGGTGGGTGTGGAGCAGTCCCGAGAAGGGCGCCAAAAGTGCTCGGGGGGCGATTCGCGATTCTCTTGCGCGTTCGCACATGGCCGCTCTGTCGCTTTCGGTGGTGGTGGTTTGTACCCCGCCAGTTCACTTTGCACTGAAGGAGGTATTCCAGATTTCGTAATAAAAGGAGGGGGTCTGGACCCTCCAATACAAGCCATTTCAGACCTCTCCCGTGGGAGAACCCTCCAAAACATCGTCCCCAGACCCCCCCAGGCCCTCCAAATAGCCTGGAAGAGACCCCCCCCGAAATGAGACCCCCCTCCCTTTATTACGAAATCTGGAGTGAGTCTTGCGCGTTTTGGGAGTCGGGGGATTCGCCATGTGCCGGTGAGGGGTCAGCGTTTCCCGAGCTCTTTCCCCTGCCCGAGCCGTGGGAGCTTCGCAGGGGTTCCAAGAAGTGTCGCCTGGCGCCAGTGCTGTCAGCGCATCGGCGGCTCCCGCTGCCGGCGCTGCTGCTTCCTGCCAGGGCCAGCTCTTAGAGCGATGCCCATGCGGCTTGCTGCGAGGGAGGCAGCGGGGGCGTCTTCCCTGGGCGGGGCATTCAGGGCCGATAGGCATCCTTCACAGCTGGTGCCGTGTCCGGGGGAGGTGCAGGCGCCCTGGGGCTCCTGGTCGGGGTGACAAGGTTGCCCGTCAGTGCCGGGTGGCTTGGGCGAATCGTTGGGCGGGAGATGCTGCGTGGAAGTAGACTGTGCTTTCGGGGGGCCAAATGTCAAATGCGTCAGTCTCCGCTGGGCCTTGCCGGGCTGGATGTTCACTCGCATGCTTGTGCCAGGTGCTTCGCTCTGGGAGGCGTAGATGAATGCCCTTGTTCGTAAACGCAGGTGTCGTCGCGAGTTTTTCGTTGGCGACTAGCTTGATTCGAGCGTCCGCGATGGAGGCGTGCGACCCCGTGCCCCGTGCCGACTTCGACGCGCGCGCAGACGACCTGAGTTCAAGCGCCACGGGGGGCCCTCGCGTTGCCGGGCAGACCCTGGCTCGTCGAGCTGAGGCGCTGCAGCTGCAGCAGGGGGCATCATTTCCGCGCTCGGGGTCGAGCTGGCCAAGGGTAAGATCGGGGTGGTCTCGAGCTGCAAATGTACTTCTGACCGGCTGGTGGAGCAGCTGGGGCTTTTAGTTGGTGGGGCGGCAGGCGCCAGAGTGGCCAACTCAGGAGTTGACTGCGCTGCTAGGAAGGAAGGCGCTGCCAGCCCCTGGCAAGGAGCGCCCAGCTACGACGAAGGAGCTGCAGCGGCCCTCAGGCAGGCCCGCAGGGCAGGTGAGATAAGCTCTGGGCTTGGCAGGATAGCTGTGAGGGTTTTCGCTGTGGGTCCTTTGGCGGGGGGGCGCGTGCTGGGCTGACCTTCGTGGGGTCTTGGGCCGAAAGCTTCTCGGCCTCGGGCGCGTGTCCATATCTTGTGTCAGACCCAGTGCGCAGGGCAGGTCTCGACGTGTTCTGTCTCTCTTGGAAGGGGTCTGGTCTGGGGGTGGGGGGCAGTTGCGCCGTGATCAGTAAGTGGGCCGGGGGAATCTGGTCCTTGCAGGCGAGACATTGTCGCCGGTGCTTGTCCCGGGATGAAGGGCGAACGGCGCGGCAGACGGTTTTCGGGTGCGACGGCCCGTCTTGGGCCGAGGTCTCGAGGCCGATCTCTGCGCTGCGCATG